GTTAAAACTCGATAATATGATAAAAAGTTTTATGGGATGTCATAAGCTTAATAAAAAGCAAATGATTGTAGTAAGTCATAAAAATTTATGATGTGTCGGGGTTGAATGTTAAATTAAATTAATTAAAATTTTATTATATATGGAAGTTTTTTATTTTATATTTCTTTGTTAGCATATAATTTAAAACAAATATTCACTACTAGTTGAGCGTACAGTGAAGTATCAGTCTCTTAAGCGTTCTCCAAATATAAGTATTTAAATATGGGCCATTTAACGGAAACACAGATAATTGAAGTTTTATTTCTCATAGAATGTGGCAATAAAACTAGAACACAACAAGAAGTTTACAATTTATTTACTTCAAAGTATCCAGCTCAACCTATTACTCGTACTACGGTAAGTAAAATTAAAAGGAAATTCAGAGACACTGGACATGCCAAAGATATACCAAAACCTGGCCGTCCGAGTATTAGTGAAGACACTAAAATTGACATTCTATTGCGTGTGGAAGAAGATTCTCACAGTGCTTCTAGCCTAGTCGCAGCTGAAAGTCAAGTCAGCCAACTCTCAGTATTACGTCTTATGAAGAAAGAAAAGTACCATCCATACAAAATTAGACTAGTGCAGGAACTTAACGAAGATGATCCGGACCGTAGACTACAATTTTGTGAAACTATGATGAATTTATATAACAATAATCCACACTTTTCTCGTAAAATACTTTTTTCGGACAAAGCTACCTTCTGTTTGAATGGTACAGTCAACCGTCAAAATTGTAGAAACTGAAGCAGAGAAAATCCTCATTGGGTAGTAGAGGCAAATTGCCAATACCGTTAAAAAGTGAATGTCTGGGCAGGAATGGTGGAAAATTGGATCATAGGTTCTTTCTTCTTTGACGAGAATATAACAGGACAAACGTATATGGAATTTTTGCAAAACTCTCTTTTTCCCACATTAGCAGATATGTTTCTCAATGAGAATGGAGGTCCCGATCTACCAAGTGATACCATTTGGTTTCAAGAAGACAGGGCACCTCTGCACTATGAGCGTCCTGTCCATACTTTTTTGGACACATGTTTTCCTGAGACGTGGATTGGCAGACGAGTACCGCGATAGAGTGGCCAGCGAGATCTCCAGATCTCACCCCTCTGGACTATTTCTTATGGGGCTACCTTAAATCAACAGACCACAAAATTTAGAAGACTTGAAAAATCAAATTCGTAAAGAATGTCGGTTTCTTAGTGCGGAAGTCATCCAAAACGTTGTTAGAGAATTTGGATAGGCTTGCTTACTGCTTTGGTTTTTGGAAAAAAAGTTATTAAGTTTGATGGTTAAAAAAATAACATTGATATAAAAAAATTAGGAAAATATTAAGTCAATTAAATTTTTTTTGAAATTATTGTTATAAGAAAAATTTGTTTGTAATTAAAAGGATGTCTGAATGCAAAAATTACGACAAAAATTATAAAGTTGATTTTTCTTTAGTTTTTTCAGGATTGACTTAATTTATATTTTTTATTTTTGTTTTTTTAAAGAAAAGTCTCTTCTTTAATTGTCAAACAAAAAACATTCACGTATTACCAAAAGTTTGGGATTTAAACAACAGGGTGTTTAAAATGTCGAATAAATATTGTTTTTTTTTAATTAAATGAAATAAATTAACAAACAAATTTCCTACAAGTAATTGTTTAAGTTAAAACGCTTTAATATTGCTTATTTATATAAAGTATAGAAACCATTTTATAAACAAGTTTAAAAATTTAAATTTGTTAAACAAAATTATAAAAATTTCAATTTTTTTACACAACAAAGAACTTATTGAGTAATATCACTAATATCACTAATTCTATCAAATTCCACTAATTTAGCAGCTGCTTTATAATTCCAAACCAAATATAAACTAACGCAAGAAACAATCTTCAAAAATGTCGGACACTTTCGTGTGTGGGTGATATTTTTAAGAATAGGCTAGTCGCACCAATATTTACTAATCTTAGAATAAATAAAATTATATTTATATCCAGTATAGTTTTATGTCTTTAAAAATAGAATAGAGGGAATTTTCCAAAATTTGGTCTAATCGATTGTTAATCTTAAATTAAGAATAAGATTATTTCAATTAAAGTCTTTCTTAACATTTAACAGGCAAGAATAAGGTAGACGTGTTTAAGAAAGATTAATATTTAGTTTAATGTTATAACATAGTTATAACTATAGTTTTAGCCTTGTCAATATTATATCTTCTTGTTTCAACTGTACCTAATTTTAAGGTAAGAAATAAAATCTTTTTAATTTAAGGATAGGTTAATATTTAAAAGAAATTTAATGTTTTCGTACCTTAACAAAATTATACTTAAATCAAGTGAATTTTTTTAAGAATAAAGGTATTCTAAAATTTAGAAAACATTTTTTTCTGTGAAATGGAGCGATTCTGAGGAAGGATCAAATTTAATATTTTATTGTTATATAAAAAGGTTTAATACCTACTTAAACATTTTTTAGTATTAATAACTTCAAATTGGTTTATGTAAGCATATTTGAAAAATAATATAAAAATGGACCTGTAATATTGAATAGTACGTGTCACGTGGTATATGGCTGCAATATTTGATACATTTAATAATGCCACGTGCAATTGACGTCACAAAAGTTTTATGCCATATACGTTTCACAATCAATATATTATATTTATATAAAATGTCTCTTAAAAATGGGTGTAATAATAAATTTACTTAATGCCCGAAAAACTTGGAATTAAATTTCGTGTGCCAGACAACGTTGTCAAAATGAAAGATAATAAAGTTAGTAAACTAAAAGCAAAAGGTTTTAAACAGGATACGAGAATTTTAAAGGTCAATGGATTTGCTTTATAAAAGCTTTTGCTGCCAATTACCATGAAAGCGATTTTAACTGAAATTCAATGTTATTAAAGACTACATTTTTGCTTTATTTTAATAGAAAAAAACGTTTTTCACATGGTTCAAATGTTATTAAACTTAGAACCGGTGATTCGATAAAAAAAATCCTTAAAACTTATAAGACAAATATTTAAAGTTTAATCAACGATCGCTGCTTGATTAAGTTGTAATGAATAACTGAATAAATGAATAACTAATACAAAAAATTAATGTAATTAATTTATTTAAATGGACTGATGGATGTAATGAAGTTCTTTCCATTGTTTAGCAAGTCATACCGAATTATTTATTAGAATAATAAACGTAAAAATTCAATTAAACAAGGAATTCCCAATAATTTGTGAAATTCTCCATGATTTATATGGCGATAAAATCCACAATTATCACCACTTTCAGCCGAACTGTTGGTTTTCTTTGACCCACTAAGCGAACAGCAAAGTGCTTTATTATGTTAAAATTAATCGATTTTTTTCGTTTGTTTTATTAAGTGAGCTTTGGTTATTTATTACTGTGAAAAATAGTTTTTTTTTTAAATTGTCACGTGGCCCTTTATTATTTTATCAGTCAAATTTAAAACATAAGTTATTTTAGTAATGTTACGTGTAAAATTAAACTGCAATTTTAAAATTAATTAACATTACACTGTTTTCTATTGTAATTTTACTAAACATGTTTAGGAAGTTTTTACGCACCACAATATAGTAATAATAAAACTCAGTTTTGTAAATTCACTACACGATTCATTACAACTCAATTTGGGAAAATTACAAAACGTTTGTTGAAATTCACTAAGCATAAATTTATTAAAAATGTGTTCAGTAACATGACTATACAGGTATTGTAATTTTGCTAAAAAAACTTAATATGTTTAGTAATTTTAAAATGGTGTATTGTAATTATATATACAATTCATTTCAACTCAGTTTAAGAAAATTACAAAATATATTTTACAATTTTACTGAACTGAAGAAAATTCGTATTATTACAAATTGTAATTTACAATACAAATATTGTTATTTTGTACAACAAATTACACTAAAAATATTTAGTAATCTACAAATGATGGTATTGTAATTATACTACGAAAAAAAACCTGCAATTTTCTTAGTTTCTTCAAGAAACTTTCTTGACTTATTACTGTAAAGATTTAAAAAAATTGACCCTTCACCTCGTCAGAGTTTTTGTTTTAAGTGCGTTCCACCAACTTCATATACCGACAGACAGCTAGACAGATAGACCTATTTTGGGTCTTATCAATGTCGGGCAATTTGGTGTAATGGAACACACCAAACATACATGTGTTACCTCTTTGTTATTAGTGGGGTAAATATTTTACTATTTGATCCACCTTAGAGCTGGTCGATTTGACCTTAAGCTCCAACATATTTTGTTTAGCTTTAGATGAGATTGAAATTTTTGTACCTAACGTACCTGCCCCAATTGGAGGCGCCAGCGCCCTGCAACGAAGCTCCAATGTTTCTCAATGCTATCCGATAGCTGAGCTATCGCTGCCAGAGGTTTGGGCATATCCAATCGAAGTGCTCTGCACAACCAAAATGTCTTAAATGCGCAGGCCTACATATTTCCAAAGACTGCGACCACCAAAGATTCCACTGCACCCTTTAACCCAGTATGTGCCAACTGTAAAGGCGGCCATACAGCCAATGCCCCCATTTGTCCCGAAAATCCTAACAATCTAAGGCAAAAGGCCTCTTCCTATAAAGACATTTATAAAGTAGAATACATGTATTTTACTTTATAAATGACTTTTTTGGAGGGGGGAGTTTGACCAGGACCATCACAGTGCGTAACCGGCCCTTCTTCATTCTTGGCACCACCGTTGGTGTAAACTTATCGCTTATTTCCGCTTTTATTTTGTTAATGTCTATTTCCAGGGGTAGGCCTCTGAAAACAACCTGTAATTGTCGTTCTTCTGGTCTCTGGAAGGTGTGGAATTCATCGTTATTTGCTGTTAGGTGGGAGGTGATGTAATTGTGAATTTCCATATTGTATGGTTGGAATCGGATACCTTGCGAGACATTTGTGGCTTTGGATATGTGCCACCGTCGAGTGGAGAATTCTCTAGAAAGAGTTTGCCATCTGGCTTTGTTTATTAGAACAATTGGAGGTACATTGGTCTGAGGTGGGGGGTGTATGTTGATGAGGCGAATTGCTTTGGGCTAGGGGGGGTGTAAGTCGATGCAGAAATTGGAGTTGTGTATCAATGTTAAGAGAGCTTATTGTCTTGCTTCTTTTTATGGGGTTGGTATTTTCATTTGGAGAGAGATTGTGGAGTTTGGCCTTTTTAGAATTGGGGGTTGCATCTGTTGGGTTGTAGTTTGCTTGATTTGGAATTGCTTTAGAAAGACACCTGAGCTTATATACTGTCCACCGAGGCGAGATGTAAGAACATCAAGTCATTGCCGCAATCGGTACATACATACTAAAATGCATGCATACGAGGTGTGGTCAGAAAATAACGGGAATTGTTAAATTACGCGGGTTTGGAGGGTCCAGTTGTCATAAAATATTCTTTATTATGTTGGTATACATGCCCCCGAAGTATGGTAAAAACTTTAGCTGTTTTCATTGTTTACTTTGTCTGTGGCAGCCGCTAAGGTTAGACGTGTTTTATGAGCTCGGCGATTTTTCGTTCGTTAAAAGAAATGGACCAAAGAATTTGTATCCAATTTTGCTTAAAAAATGAAATAAATTCTGTGAAATGTTAACAAAGGCCTATAGTGAGTCTGCTATAAGTAAAACAAGAGTTTACAAGTGGTATAAGAGTTTCCCAGATGGCCGTGAAGACGTTGAAGATGACGAACGCCCCGAACGCACAAGCACATTAACAACCGATAAAAATATGGAAAAAGTGGAAGAAATGGTTATAAACCATCAAAGAAGTCGCTGATGATGTTGGTATATCGATTGGCTCATCCCATGAAATTTTTTCGAATGTTTTGGGTATGAGACGCGTGGCAGAAAAATTTGTTCTAAAATTGTTAAATTTTGAACAAAATTTTTGGCCAAAAACAATACTGTAATGATGGCCCAGCCTCCATATTCGCCAGACATGCCCCTGTCTAACTTTTTCCTATTCCCAAAAATAAAGAGAACCTTAAAGGGCCGCCGTTTTGCAAGCATAGTCTATGCTGCATAGATGACATTAAAAGCGCATCGCTGAAAGAACTAACGGCTATCCCAAAGATCGAGTTTTAGAAGTGTTTCGAGTATTGGAAGAAGAGCTGGCACATGTGAATAATATCCAATGGGGACTATTTTGAAGGCGACAACATTAATGTAGACGAATAAATAAATATTTGTTTCAAATAAACGAAAATTCCCGATATTTTCTGAACACACCTCGTACAAACAACGTTTGTAAATCTGAGATGCTCTATATTAGAAACTGTCAAACTGTTTAGTAAAATTATATATATATATATGTTAGAGCAACCCGAAATACGGCAACTGATGACTAGGTCTGGCAACGCTGCGAGCCTGAGGTGGTCAAGCGCAGGGAACACGAGAAATCCCGCGTCGAGCGCATGATCTTGGTATCATGCGTCGAGCGACATTATCGCCTTGAGCACTCGTCGGGCACGTTGTGTTTGACAATTACTTATTGTACATTGGTGTAATAAAGGAGTTTTGTGTTATAAAACTGCCTCTTTTATAAAACTACTCTGTTATCAGAAGTGAGATTGTCCCATTCCAAACGGAAAACAGAAGAATCCGAGTAGTCGACCGGGGAGAACAAGGGAGAATTCAAAAAAAGAGCCGGCAGCGACAAGGTGCTAATTTGTTTGTGCAGAAGGGTGTTTAAATTGTGGGTTTGTACATTTTGAATAACTAAATTGTTGTAGTATAAATGTTCCCGAGCATTTTGGTGTAGTTAGTTTACACAAACACCTTGTGTAAAGATGAATATTCGATCAATTGACTTGGCGTCATCGTTCGATCTGTTGAGCCGTAATGGCTGCCGCTTATGTTCTGTGGGCTGCCGTTTTAGAAACCACGCACGAAATCAACTGATTAAATTAACGTTTAAATTAGGTATTTCGTATTGTAATTTAGATTCTAAGTTATAAACAATTGGTACTTGATTTTATCTAATAAAAGGCAGGGTTTTTTTTACGAGTAATTATCAAATTAAAAGAGCAGGAATTTACGGGTGTGTTATCCGATTAAAATAGGCAGGACCGTGTTCGATTTTATTAAGCTAAATTTCAGGACAGTACTGGAGATTATTTAATTAATTTTGATAAATGTTTCAAAAAGGGGATTTACCATGAACGCTATGTAAATTGAGTGTATTGAATATCGATTTTCTTGAATGCGGGATTTATTGAGTTGTACTCGCAGATTCACATTTGTGTCCCGTGATTGGTAATTTTACCAGTCATATTAAATTATTTGGTGTTACATTTGGAGTGAGTAGCAGCGGTAATTGTGCGATAGCCACATTTGATTTAGCCCCACTGCCCGTGGAGTCCATGTTGCAACAATAATTAATTTATTAACTGTTGAAGTTCAAAATGTGTCAGAATGGACGAGTGCCCTCCCCAAATTACAAAAGTCAAGTACAGGTCAGTGATAGCTGAGGAGTACCTCTGAACACATCAATGTTTTGTTTTAAAGTTGTTTTTGTGTTACAAAAGTCAAGTACAGGTCAGTGATAGCTGAGGAGTACCTCTGAACACATCAATGTTTTGTTTTAAAGTTGTTTTTGTGTTACAAAAGTCAAGTACAGGTCAGTGATAGCTGAGGAGTACCTCTGAACACATCAATGTTTTGTTTTAAAGTTGTTTTTGTGTTACAAAAGTCAAGTACAGGTCAGTGATAGCTGAGGAGTACCTCTGAACACATCAATGTTTTGTTTTAAAGTTGTTTTTGTGTTACAAAAGTCAAGTACAGGTCAGTGATAGCTGAGGAGTACCTCTGAACACATCAATGTTTTGTTTTAAAGTTGTTTTTGTGTTACAAAAGTCATGTACAGGTCAGTGATAGCTGAGGAGTACCTCTGAACTTACTGTGTGATTTAAAGTTTTTCTTTATTATTAATTTCTTTGTTTTGAGTGTGATTAAAGTCAAGTACAGGTCAGTAAATAAATGTCTGAGGAGTACCTCTGAACTTATTGTTGATATAAGATCTTTGTCATTATAACCAAAGGAGTTAAGTACAGGTCAGTTAAATATCTGAGGAGTACCGCTGAACTCATTGTTTTTATTTTTTGGTTATTTAGCACATATTGAGCAAAAACCTTAAAACTCAAGTAAAAAGTTTGGATTAATAAAATTGGCAAAGTGAAACCTATCACGTTTTAAAAAGTGTGCTTGGTTTCCAGAAGATGAACCTTTGGAACCATATGAAAATGAGGTATCTCGAGAGCGAGTTCTTTGTCAGTCTGGCCGTGTTAGAGCAACCCGAAATACGGCAACTGATGACTAGGTCTGGCAACGCTGCGAGCCTGAGGTGGTCAAGCGCAGGGAACACGAGAAATCCCGCGTCGAGCGCATGATCTTGGTATCATGCGTCGAGCGACATTATCGCCTTGAGCACTCGTCGGGCACGTTGTGTTTGACAATTACTTATTGTACATTGGTGTAATAAAGGAGTTTTGTGTTGTAAAACTGCCTCTTTTATAAAACTACTCTGTTATATATATATATATATATATATATATATATCATGACAGATAAAAAATCTTTATTCTTATTGCTGGCATAATTTTCACCATTTTTTGGGGCCTATAGACAGTTCCGATGGAAAACTTTTTATTAAATATAAATAGACTTACGCAAAGTTGCTCTATTGCTGAGCTAGTTATGTATATGTATAGGATTTATGTATATAAATTGCAAGTCCTCTATTTTATTTGAAAAAGAAATACCCTGTATATAAATTTTTATGGATCCAATTTTTGCGTAAATTACCTAAGTATTTCAAATTAAAATATCATGCTATACAGATGCAAACGATAACTTTCGTGGTTAGGGCTTTTAAATTAAAATATTATCAATTCAATTACTAGGACGAGAAGCAATTTCAACATCTGTGGAACACGATGATGATGGCCCTTAAATTTAATTATGCAATCCTAAATATGAGAAATTTTTGGGAACGACGAGAACATTTCATAACAGTTTAAATTCGTTTATTTTTGACGGGTAGTTTTTGAGTCATATGGTCATCAATTTTCATTTTATTTTTGTTTATACAGGGTGTCCCATAACTAATGGTAGTAAAAATATTACGATTTGACCAAACGTAGCTTAGTTCAAAAGTTGACAATAACCGAGATACAAGGTGTCCCAGTGAAAATTTGTTTTTCGATTTTCCTAATTAACTTATTTATAATTCAATATTTTTGCATAAAATTTTGTGATTGGGTCATTCCACGTTACTCGGGGATTTTTGTCCCGCCCGTCACAATTAAAAATTGTGAATAAAAACTACACGTTATAAAATTTATTTTAAAATATTGTTTATTATGCTTTTAATAAGTTATAAGCACAATAAAAATAATATTATAAAATATAAATTAATTAACTTGTGGCTTTTACTCACAATTTTTAATTGTGACGGGCCCGCCCGGGCGGGACAAAAATTACCCAGTAACGTGGAATGCCCCGATGAAGGTTTTTTTGGGTTGAGAAATTGGAATAATAATTTTGATATAGATTGTAGAGGGCGCTCTCTGCGGCGCTCTGGGTACATAAAAACAAGTGTAGCTTTTTCGCGCCTTTTAAATGTCGATTCGGGGATTTGTTTTTGCATTTACAATATTTAATGCTTCCGTTTTAAAAACTCATTATTGTATTAAATATTAATCAAATAGAATAGAATTTAATTACAAATAATTCAGATTACAATGGTAGATTTTTAAAATTTTGAAAATATCAAAATAGTTTATTAATATTATAAAAACTTTGAAATCTCAATAAAAGAAAAGATTTTGTTTTGACAATAATTGCTCAAAGTGATTGCCGTTAACTTCAATACACTTGGCTACTCGTCTATTGAATGACCGCCTGATTTTAAATAAAAGTTGTTCATTTTGAAACGATTCCGCTGCATTCTGAATTTTACTGAGTTGAAATGAATTGTATAGTATAATTAGTAATTAATTATTATTATTATTATTTTTAATTATTAATTACAATACACCATTTTAAAATTACTAAACATATTTAGTATTTTATTGGCAAAATTACAATACCTGTATAGTAATGTTACTGAACAAATTTTAAATAATTCTTAGTGAATTTCAACAAACGTTTTGTAATTTTTCCAAATTGAGTTGAAATGAATCGTGTATATATATATATATATATATATATATATATATATATATAAATTACAAAACTGAGTTTTATTATTATTATATTGTGGTGCATAAAAACTTCCTAAACATGTTTAGTAAAATTACAATTTAACAGTGGAGGATGCATTGTTGATATTAAAACATGTAAAATATTTGGTTAACTGGAATCCACTTTATTGTGACACTGCTGTCAATTTTTGTTCCTGTCATTTATCATTTTAAGTTATGTTTTCCTCCTCTGATTATGCCGAAATGATGGTTATTTATAGAGAGTATGGGCGCAATGCTAGGGAGGCAAAACGAGTTTTTTTCCAGCGCTTTCCCGATCGTCCCCTGGACTGTAAAGTTGTTCTGCGTTGTAACGAAATTGAAGGTGCTCCTTAACGTATTAGAACAGCGGAAAATAAGGAAGCTATTTTCAATGCCTTTGATGCGAATAGTAGGAAGCTATTTTATGTGAATGCAGCACCTGCAGCCGGAAGATAATCCCGCTAGAGTGGAATTTTGTAGTGGTTTAATTTTTAGTTCTTTTAGAAGTTTTAAGACAACAATGTTCTATCATCTCCTCCACGGAAAATAGTATATTACACTACAAGAGCCGAAAGGTGATTTTAAGGTGATAACATGCGCTAATCACGAATCTGCTATCCGTTTTTCTGGGTTAGGTCAAGTTTTTGAAATATACGATAATGGTATTTTTTGTTATTTTATTAGAAAATTGACTACATTTTAAATTGGAGTGCAGATGAAATGGGTTTTTTATAATTGTATGGGTTTGTTTCACGTATAAGTGACCAACAATCATCGCTTAACATCCCCTCGTCCGAAAAACCTTGGTAGTTCAATTTTCTGCAAATCTTGATGTAAGGGCTCTCCTTCCTCGTCACTATAGGTTCTCCAGGAAAAAATCCAGATGGGAATCCAGAAAATGAATTTTAAGTGACATGCGAACACCCGTTTTAAAATAATTGTCCAAAAGATCCGCGACAATTGCCTTGTAGTCTTTACTTTTTCTGTTTCCAAGGAAATTACGAACGACGCTCTTAAATGAGGCCCATGCTGCTGCTTCAGTAGGAGAACATTTGGTGAAGTTGTCATCATTAATCAATTTTCTTATATCTGGTCCGATAAAAATTCCTTCTTTGATTTTCTCGTAAGAAATTTTGGGGAACAGTTTAATAAGATATTGAAATCCAGGCCCTTCACGCTCAAGTGCCTTTACAAAGTTTTAAAAAATGCCGAGCTTAATGTGCAACGGTGGAAGAAACATACGTTTAGGATCAACTAAGGTATATTGATCCCGAATCGGCCAAACTTTTTGTCGGTAATGTTTATCAGTGACCCAACTACCCCACAAACAAAGAAAACAGCAGTATTTTGTGAAGCCGGACTGCATACCAGATAACAAGCCAATCACCTGAATTAAAATTTATTTTTAACATATATTATTAACAAAAAATGTATTACCTACCTTAAGATCGCCACAAATTTTTCAGTTGTGTTTTTTGTATTGAATGTGTTTCAAAATTTCATTTATCGTTTCGTAGCTTTCCTTGGCGTTTAAAGGATTTTTTTTTACTTTTTTGAATAAAAATGATGCAATAGCACGTCTATACAATTTTTGCATTTTTTTTCAAAAATGATCTTATTAGCGGTTTTTCATGTTTTTCTTAAAATCACTTATCCTGCAAATACAGAGTTTTGCATCTAATGTACTCATATATGGTATACCATATATACCATATATACCATATATACCATATATACCATATATACCATATATACCATATATACCATATATACCATATATACCATATATACCATATATATATGGTATATATGGTATATATGGTATATATGGTATATATATATACCATATATGAAAGGTTTATTATTACCATTGTGTAGAAGAGCGGCTTTAAGACTGTATTTTGAGCCGTCGATAAAGAGGCGCCACTCATCACAATCATATGGTTGTTTCATTGCGTCGAACAAACCCGCCACATTATTTCAAAAACACATGTTATTTGTTTTTGAGAAAAAGGGTAAAAGCGAATTATTTCGGGTTCTGTACATGGTAACCTTCGTTTTTTTGTCAAGAAATTGCCATTGCTGCAAGCGTGATGCTAGCAATTCTGCTTTTTGTTTAGATAATTGCAAGTCTCGTACCAAATCACTTAGCTCAGATTGCAAAATTAAATGATTTTCGTCAAACTCAAACTCGCTGGCACTACTCATCATATTGTCATCAAACTTCCATGCTTATATGCGTTGTGGGTAAAACAGGTAAAGGGATATTTTCGTGACGAGGAACTGGCTTTGATACTGATAAAACTTCTGGATATTTCAGGCTTTCTAAATTTTTTGAATTTATACCCATAACGTTCGTTAAGCAAAAATTGCAGTCATCTACGTGGTTCTGTTGTTCTCTCCAAAGCATTGGCGTTGAAAATGGAAGATATATGTTATGACCCATTGACCATCGGTTCAGCTTGGATCGACACATTTTGCAACATAATTTAGGCACCTACGACTTTTTTGACTCACTAACAGTAAATCCAAATTAGTGAAAATACGCGTTTTTTAGCGATTCATTCATTCTATTGCCTTTTTTTCGGACAATGTATCGACTTTTGCAATGCCTACTTGACATTTTTGTAAATTTATTTGCAGTCAATACAAAAACAATGCTATAGAAATTAACTGTAACTGTAACTGTAACTTCTAATATAAGATATCTTGGAAATTTTACCTGACCACGTGAAACGGGCGACGCATTCGAGTTCAGCACAAAAAAATATGTAAAAACCGTTGTTGGTTTTTCGTGTACAAAAGTTGACCCATATTTGTAAACCTGTTTAGGTAATAGGCATATTTAATTTAATAGAAAAAAAAAATATATATACATATATATACATATATTTTTTTTTAAACATAATATGTTAAGGTGTTACTAATATATTATATAAGTAACACCTTAGGGATGTATCAATACTGTCTATAGAATACAATATAAAACTACTTATATTTATATAAGCAACTATATTTTAAAATGCACTTTTTCTAACTTTGGCATTTGCAAAGTTATCTATTAAGTCAGTTATATCCAAGTTGGATGCAATTTTATATTCTACAGACAATATTGACAAATCTCGCAATCGCTGCTTACTTGTGGTAGATCTTATACAATTTTTTAAAAATTTTAGTTTACTAAAAGTTCGTTCCAGCAAAAAAACTGTGTAAACATCGCAAAAGTCTGCTTTCATACATGGATAGTTTTTAATAATAAATTCAAAAAGATCTCTTATTGACATACCTTCTTCATGTTTTATTAAATTAAGCAACATATGAAACTAATTTGGGAAATTTATGGGTCAATGTTTAAATTTTTGTAAAATTTCTTCTTTCGAGCTTTTGGTTAAATACAAGGGGTTCCAAAAAATTAAAAGTTTTTTTATATTGAGTATGGCAGAAAATCTCCTTAAAATCTGGTTGCAAATTATGTCAATAACAAAGTTATAAACATTCACCTTAAAATATTCTCTGTTTTCAAAACTATGGTCAAAAGCAAATTCATCAAAGTGCTTGTTCACTTTTGCTGAAATGACTAACCGATGCCCCATTTAATGGCCATGCACGGGCTTTAGGTTTTTATATTATTATAAGTTTGTGGGTCTTCGAAATTAGATATATCTACACGATCTAAAACTGTTGTTGCTTGATCCAAATCAATATCAGTTTTTTGTAAAGTTTTGAATACAAAATTAATTTTACTTAGAATGTCTGGGGGCCCCTATATGACCGGGGCCCCCGGGCACTGCACCGAACTGCCCGGTATGTCCGCCCCTGGGGCCACCCCGGGTGGCGCAACCGACTACCATCCTTATTGTTTTGCACCAAATGGGTGAAAATAATAAAGGCCATTCTTGCATATTATCGTAAGAATATATTCTGTTATAACAAGGGTAATATGCGATTTCTTGTCTTATTAGCAATAAAATTCGTTATTACGTTAATAAAGCTCAAGCTGATCATTTTAGCACACGACACATACGATTTTAGCATTTCATCGTGATTAAGAATAACATAGACGGTACACGACTTGTATATAACGTATAATTTATTTAAAGTACACAATTTTGGAGCACGGCAAATCTGTATTATTTTTAATAAAGAATGGCATTGGTCAATACAATATTTTATTAAAATATACAACAATATTAATTTAAAACAGAAATTGTAGTAATTTAACTACAATATATAATTATATCTTCAATAAATTGTTGTTTATTTTTATTACAAAATTGTTAAATTATTTCTAACAAATTGTTCTTGGTCGTTTTTTTTAAACAATTTATACTAGAAAATTCTACAATTGTAGTACTTTCCACAACATTTTTTTTTCGTGTACGTAGTAAGTACTAGGTGGCTATATTTTTTTCTTTCAATTTCTCCCACAACTTTCCTAGAGTATAAGCTGATTTCGAATATCGGTTGTATAATGTCAAACAACTTCGGGCCAATGTTGGGTTTCAATATTGGACGAAAGATTTATTGGCCCAATATTATTACGAATATTGGGCCAATATCTTCCTGCTACTGGGGTATACTTGGACTGAGATAATTAATATTTAATATAGAATAGCTTTTTTTCTTGTGCACAAGTAGAATTAGCAGTTTTTATTAAGCAACAAGTCGTATTGAGTTTAAATTAAGGTTAGGTTTTCAAAATAAGTTTTTTTTAGTTAAATATTTCTGTTTTTTTTAATGAATCCTGTTCGTAACATTTTTTTCTTGATAAGTAAAACGCCTTTTTTAAGAAGAAACGAAACTGAAAAAAGACAGATATTGGGCAGTCGTCCAACGCCAAAAATGTCATTAATATTTAACGATAAAAGGCACGATAAGCAATATTCACGAACTTTTCAAATATCTTGGTACGAAACCTATAAGTGGCTATGAGAAAGTATTTATAAACAAAGCTTATTCTGTTTGAATTGTATTTTATTAGGCCGCCTAAAAAGCAATTGGAGTTTAGGGGGTGGGTATTCCGATTGCTTTGATATTTTATTTGTTTTATATGTATATATATTTTTATCCATTCATATAAATATATTTTTAGGTTCCAGATATATATTTTAAACTTTTAAAAAACAAATTTTATGTTTATTTTTACAAAATTAACCTTTTGTAGCCTCACCCTCCTATACACCCACGAGCCGCCACTGTGTTTAATATAACTATTTTCATTATTACACAATTTTTAATATTTCGATTTAAAGTTTTACAATGGATTTAAATTTTACACCAGCTATTAGAATTTCTCGATTCATAATTAAATCCTTTATACAAATTTATTCAGAATAAATTAATTTAATCACTTTTAACTTTTAACCTTTCAAAAATAATTTATTTAATTCAAGTCCAATTTAACTATTAGGTACATAAACTAACATAACAATAAATTGAAAATAGAATGTTTGGATTACATTTAGGTAGTTTTCTGCTTGAAATTGCATTTAATTTTCTAGAGGACTTGGACAAAGATTTAATTTCGATTTAAAGTCCGTTTGGAAAAGCAATTTCTTTGAGAATTAATACCTATAAAAAATTCCTAAAAGAAACATTTCATATTACTTACGTTCTTAAAATTAAAATATATATATATAGGTACCTAATCTTTCTTCTTAAAATAAAGAAATAAATTAAAATACAAAACCCTATATTTTTAGACGTATTAAAGTTAAATTGAAAACACTTAAAAATCATGAATAAGAATTAAACCTTTCAAGCTATAAATAAAATGAGGTTTTGCATTTTTATTTGTTTCTTACTTCATTAGGTCAAGTTCATTTTTTTTATCTGGATTGCGGCAATGTTGCAAATTTAGGGTTTTGGTTGGTAAATACAGTTGTCAGTTGGTCGCATTGATTAAAACAAACTAAGCTAGTTATAAATCTAATTGTGGTTATGTATAAATTATTGTAGGTTACATTGTGCAGTTGTCAAGTTGAGTTGTCGAAATTCGTAGTTAAAAATGCAATTAATTTGGCTTTGTTGGTGCTTGTATGAGTAAAATCATATAAAAAAAAGTAGTTAAATATAGGTTGATTTACGGCCCAGAAGAGAAAGTATTCCTAGCGGATAATAATCTTCGCTTTGAAAAGAATTCATATAAAAGAAATTACAATTTTTTGTGAACGTAAATGTTCTCCAATGGTGAATAGTGTGAAAATAATGTGTGATGTAATATTTATAAAACCAAATTCGTTACTTTTTTACTCCAAAAATGTCCAAAAGGCGATGTACTTTTTCTTCCATTGTGGCATTTGGCATAATTTCATCAAAATGAAGTTTTGCCCTCAAAAGGGCTTTTACATTCGCATTCGTTGCCATTATTTTTGGGATAATTATCTTTTTATTGATAATTGACAAGTAAATTATCAATAATAAATATTATTGTCAATTTGACAGTGTCAAAGTATTTAATTCAATTCTTTAGCAGAAGTACTATTTTAAAATACTAAAAATATATTTTTAGTATTTAGTATTTAGTATACTAAGTCAAACTGGCATAAGAAACCAACCTAACAAAAAAACACGAGTCCAGATAAAAAAAATGAACTGTACATTAAATTTCTTCTCATTGTGTAACTGACTGTTATGACGTAGGTAATACAAAAAAAAGGAAAAATGAAATAATCGAGTTACCTAAGCTATAGTTTGCAGCTTATACTTTTGACGAGCATGTGAAAAATAATAAAAACTGGGATTTGTTATAGGCACAATAACCCAGAATACGTGACAATGTCTCAAGAAATAAACTAAAAAGTACAACTGATGTCGTAAACATTAATTAATAGACTTATTTTTTTCTAATTTGGCACTATTGCAACACTGAAAGAAATATATGTTTGTTTTAGCAAATGTATGTGGTTCATATATGGACTACCACATACATTGCTAAAACAAACATATATTATATTTAGTTTTAACATAATATGTTAAAACTAAATATAAAAATGGTTAAGGTAAATATATTTTATGTTTCATATATAGACTACCACATACATTGCTAAAACAAACATATATTTCTTTCAGTGAATTATTACAACTGTCAAGCATTTTTAACCTCACTTTTTCAAATTTAAACTTATGGATAACCTAAAATAGGTTCCGATCCTAAAATGAAATGTAGGTCTTAAAAAGAAACGTGGACCTTAATCAAGCCAAGATCCTTATTTAAAAAAACACGTATCTGCGTAGATACGTTGTTTTAACCAGGATTTGGGGGCCCTGGGCTAAAACTCTTTGGGGGCCTATCAATAATTAATAATAAAAAACAAGAAAAAAGTAACACTTATTCTTAATAAAATAATTGGATAACATAAATAATATAAATAAAACATTCTAGCATTTATACAAGGTGTCCCGAGAAGAAGATATTTATTGGTTTATAATAATTTGACTTAGGGCCGGTTTATCAATGTCCAGTTAAAGTTATCT